AACGTCGGTGTTCCACAAAGTGGTCCCCAAGCCTGATGTAGAGGAGGCCACAATGGGAACAGCGGATACAGTATACCACATTAGCAGATGTGCAGGTGACCACCTGCTTGATGTGGAAAGTCTTCCTGGGGCCTGGGATGGGGGTGAGGGGAGAGGTGTAGGGGCAGGTATAGCACTTCCTGCGGTTGCAGGGAAAAGTGCCGGGTGTGGTGGGACTGGAGGGGAGTGTGGAGCGGACAAGGGAGTCTCGGAGAGAGTGGTCCCTCCGGAAAGCAGATAAGGGTGGGGAGGGAAAAATGTCTTTGATGGTGGCGTCGGATTGCAGATGGCGGAAGTGTCAGAGGATGATGCGTTGGATCCGGAGGATGGTGGGGTGGTACGTGAGGACGAGGGGGATTCTGTTTTGGTTGTTATTGCAGGGAGGAGGTGTGAGGGATGAGTTGCGGGAAATGTGGGAGACACGGTCGAGGGCATTCTCGACCACTGAGGCAGGGGGAAGTTGCGGTCCTTGAAAAACGAGGACATCTGAGATGTTTGGGAGTGGAATGCCTCATCCTGGGAGCAGATGCGGTGGAGGCGAAGGAATTGGGAATAGGGGATGGCATTTTTGCAGGAAAGTGGGTGGGAGGAGGTGTATTCTAGGTAGCTGTGGGAGTTGGTGGGCTTGAAATGGATATCGGTTTCCAGGTGGTTGCCAGAGATGGAAACAGAGAGGTCCTGGAAGGAGAGAGAGGTATCAGAGATGGTCCAGGTGAACTTAAGGTTGGGGTGGAAGGTGTTGGTGAAGTGGATGAACTGTTCGAGCTCCTCGTGGGAGCACGAGGCGGCGCCGATCCAGTCATCAATGTAACGGAGGAAGAGGTGGGGTTTAGGGCCAGTGTAGGTACGGAAGAGGGATTGTTCCACGTAACCTACAAAGAGGCAGGCATAGCTTGGGCCCATGCGGGCACCAATGGCCACCCCCTTTGTCCATAGGAAGTGGGAGGAATTGAAAGAGAAGTTGTTGAGGGTGCGGATGAGTTCAGCTAAGCGGATGAGGATGGCAGTGGAGGGGGTCTGGTCGGGTCTGCGGAACAGGAAGAAGCGGAGGGCCTTTAGGCCATCTGTATGGGGAATGCAGGTGTATAGGGACTGGACGTCCATGGTAAAGATGAGGTGTTGGGGACCGGGGAATTGGAAGTTCTGGAGGAGGTGGAGGACGTGGGTGGTGTCATGGACATAGGTAGGGAGTTCCTGGACCAAGGGGGAGAAAATGGAGTCGAGATAGGTGGAGATAAGTTCGGTGGGGCAGGCGCAGGCGGAGACAATGGGTTGACCAGGGCAGTCAGGTTTGTGGATTTTGGGAAGGAGATAGAAGCGGGCGGTGCGGGGCTGGGGAATGATGAGGTTGGAGGCCGTGGGTGGGAGGTCACCTGAAGTGATGAGGTTGTGGATGGTTTGGGAGATGATGGTTTGGTGGTCGGGGTTGGGGTCAAGATCAAGGGGGCGGTAGGAGGAGGTGTCGGAGAGTTGGCGCCTGGCCTCGGCGATGTAGAGGTCAGTGCGCCATACTACAACTGCACCTCCCTTGTCCATGGGTTTTATGGTGAGGTTGGGATTGGAGCGGAGAGCTGTACGTTCTGTGGGGGAGAGGTTGGAGTGGGTGAGAGGGGTGGAGAGGTTGAGGCGATTGATGTCTCGGTGGCAGTTGGAGATGAAGAGGTTGAGGGAGGGTAGGAGGCCTTGAGGTGGTGTCCAGGAGGAGGGCGTGTGTTGGAGGCGGGAGAAGGGGTCAGTAGAGGGAGGGTTAGGCTTACAGTTAATTCTCTGTCTTTGCTGTGTTTACTTTTACATATGTAAATTTCATTAAGTACATCTTTTCACTGAGTCGGAGATAGCTTATTCCAGTGTAACAGGCCATGTGGTGAATAAAATTAAAAACAAATGCGCATTGTGAAGTGCACTGCCAAAATGTGGCCACTTAGTTTTATGTCTTAGCTTAACTCAGTATTAGTTCATTCTGTGGTTGTGTACTATGCATCAGTATGCCAGGCATTTTCTTTTTTTTTTGAAAACATGTTGCAATATATTTAATTGTTATTTTCCTTCCATTTGCTTACTTTCAAGTTGTGGGCCATATACTTCATAAAGATGGGATTTTAAAGTCGAATTTTAGGAGATAGGCATTGTTGAAGTAATATAACAAGGTGTAGGTTGATTCTAGTCGGATATTGAAATGTTCAGGACCAAAACTTAATATTTTCTCAAAAGTTTTAGGTGAACTGTCACCATCCATTTTGAAGTATGCAATCAATTCAGCTGAATAAATACCAGTCACTGTGACATTGTTGTAAATAAAAGTAAAGCTGGAAAGACCTCTCTAAAAAGACCAATTTATGGTTTAGGAAAGTTGCAGGTAAAATAGTATTAAGCAGCTTTTATTGTCTGTAATTACTTTTTTCTTCTGCAGTAAATATGCCAATAAAATTATTTTCAAGGCAGCAAATCTATAATATAAATATCACTTGCTTTTCCCCTCAGGATTCATCTTGCAGAAGTTTAAAATAACCATGGTTAAACATTGACCAAACAATGTAAAACTGGAAGGTTTTCTTTTCTACTAATATGTCATTTATGGTTCAGATGGAAGCTGTTCAGCCCATTACGTCCATGCTGACTCTCCTCTGAACAATCCAGTCAATCCCTCGGTACCCCACAATCTCTGGAGCACTGCAGGTTAAGTTCCTTCAAGTACCTTCCAATTTGCTTTTGAAATTATTGTTCCTTTCCATTTCCACCACCTCTGTAGGGCAGGTGATTCCAGATCCTTATCGCTTGTTGCAGGAGTAGTTCCTCCTCAGATTCTACATGCATCTCCTGCCCATAGCCTCAAAATCTGTGTTCCCCCAGTCCTTGTACTGTTAGCTAATGAAAACAGTTTTCTTTTCTTGTTTACTTTTAAATAAACCTGCGAAATCTTCTAAAATTCTATTGAATCTCTCCTTAAGCTCCTTTTACTCCAAAGAGAAAAACTCCAACTTTTCCAATCGAACATTGTAACTAAAAGTTACCATCCTTGGAACCATTGTTGTAAATCGCTTCAGCAGTCTCCTGAGTGTTCACATTCTTCCTGAAGTGTGATGATACTACTGGACAACTGATGGTACTACTGGACAAGTTGGATCCCAAAATCTGGCTTAATCGATTGTAATTTTTTGTTCTACTTTAGTCGTTATGGTAGTCAGTTCACTGAAATATGATCACATGGGGGCTGCATAGTTTCTTTAACAAGGGAACAGAAGTTCCTTAAACAAAGATCAAAAAATCAGCAAACCAAGCTTTCTAGCAATAGAAACGGTTCTGAAAATCCTGAAAACATATACAAAACAATTTTTTCAACCTACTTCCCAATACCATTACTTTTTATAGCGATTCAAGTCCAAAGAAATTACATCAGTACTTCAGATCTTTAAGTTCAATTTATTTGATTCACCCCAGTTTATTTCCTGTGAACTGTGAAATCTTTCTTGCATGAATACTCTCAAAACTGAGTCTTCAGATCTCCTCGGTTTCCAATTGCCAGCAGATTTCTAACAAAATACCCGGTCTGAAAGTTGTAGAAATTAAACCTTTCTACTGTGGTAATGTATTCCCTTGACTGCTCTAAAAATCCTCTTTCCATGAGAGAAGCCATACTTCTGATTCCAGTCGGGTCTCTTCCATACTGCCCAAAAAACTTTCAGTCTCTGGGTTTACTAAATCACAATCTTAATTATTCTGAACTGAAAATAAGTTATTGGTCTCTATTGTTTACTGTTCTTGTTGCCAATCACTACAGTTCAGAGTTTTCCATAGAAACTTCAGGAGTTCGCGGTCTGTTGCTCCACAACACAAACTGGTTTAGGTAACTGTTTTAGAAGATATTTTTTTAAAAATCCTTCACAAAAGTAACCAACACGCACATGTCACTAATTTTTAAATCCAAACCCTAACAATGATGTACATGTATGTATAATGAATTGTGTAACTTTTTAGCACAGGTGACAGAACTGGATACAATATTTCAGTTGTGGCCTAAAAAGAACTTACCTGTCTTTTATTTATTTTACTGTACACTGCCTCTACTTATAAAACATCCTACGCTTTCTGAATCACACTTTCAGAAAGAATTTAACAAATATTACCCGCAGACAGTTAAACACTTGGCCCACTTTATTCTGCAGCACCAGATCCAGCAATGAATGTACTTTTACAAACATTATATAATAGTTACATATTTGGGGATAAATTATAGTATTGTTCTTAAGCTGTAAGAACAATTGGAATGGCATCACAGCTTAGAGGATATTGTTACTAATTTGTGCAAAATATCTAGAAAGCAGAAATGACTTTTAAGTTTTTCAGAGACTTTTGTTATTCAGTGACATAACTTTTAAATGCTGCTTTTCATTTATTTATGACAAATGCATTCATTTCTTCTGCTGCCTGCAGCTTTGTTTGGTGGAATGCTGAGTTATGTGGTTTGCAGTTTAAACCAAAAGTCATTAATGGTTATGTTTCACAAAACGATGTTGCCATTTCCTCAGGGTTGGAATGGAGAGGAAATGTGTACTAAACTATGCTTTAATTTTAAAGTTAACAAACCTCTCAACTTCCTTTATCAGGTGGAATGCTATGACTATGACAATGATGGATCACATGATCTAATAGGCACATTTGAAACCAATGTTGCCAAACTTCAAGAGGCATCACAGAATGGAGTAAGGTTTTCTCTTGAAGCTTCAGTTGCTCTCTGGTCATGTGATATGTGTATGATGGTGAAGTCTGCAGTTTTTATGTGTAGCTTACCATTTATATTTGGCTGTTCCTTTCTGTTTTCCTTTGGGGGTGGGGGGTATGAAGTTTCTAGAGTTCCACAACTGGTACTCAGACCTGTTCCTGACCACCTTGGCAATTTTATGATGTCTGAGGATGGTCTATCCTCCCTCTACCCAACTACTAACATGTAAGGGGCCACTTCAACTCTTAGGCTGTTTGGAGGAGTTCAGGGGTGTGAGGATGAAGGGAATGAGATCATTTAGCAGGTCACCTTACTTAAGCCTTGGACCAGTATTAATTGCCATTGAGATAATGGTGATGAACTACCTTCTAGAACTGCTGCATATAGTGGGTGGGGCAACCACAATGCTGTCAAGGAAGGTGCTCTCGTGATGGAGTGTAGTTGTCCCATCATCGGGAGCCGTCTCGGTGGGTGCTCTCTTTCCCAGACGCTCCATTTTAAAAACTACATGCCCTCTTCCCGTATCCCACTTGCAGAACTCCTGTCCACACCCCCAAACTTACCTTGCCTTCAACTATAGTACTTAACATGTAGCATGCGTTTGTAGTTCCAGTCCTTGTGATGAATCCTAATGCTGCTTTGATTTCAGGAATGCCAGCTGGTCAGGTTTGCTAGCAGTTCTTTGAACCAGAATATTCTCTGGAGTGAGGGCACAAATTCATCTCCAGCCTTTAACACTCTTGGGGCTGTTGTGATCAGCACATTGCATTTTGCATGAACTTGCCCCGCTACCCAAAAAATCTAGGTCAATAAAACTTTAACAAGGAAAGTTGGTGAATTCTGCTGTTGCACATTGGAAGGATTAGACTTCTGTCTTGGCAGTTGCATTACACTTTGATGTGATTGTACCAATACGTTTGTGGCTCTGTCCAGAGGTATTATTGCTCATATGTAGTGCAATCACATCCACTGTCCTTTGGTTTTGTTTGCCCATTCTGTGAGTTGCCAGCCCTCTGTATCTTCCACAGGTAACTTACTGAATGGGAGCAAACATTTTGCTGCTAGAGGAGAATGGAGTAGAACAAAGACAGAAATTGCTGGAAAACTTCAGCAGCTCTGGCACCATTTGTGAAGAGAAACATTTCAGGTCCAGTGACCGTTCTTCAGAACTGATAGTAGCTAGGAAAGAATTGGATTTTGTGCACAAGATAAGGTGGATAGAGTGTATAAAGAGTAAACAATAGGTGGAAATATAGCCCAAAGAGAGAGAAGAAGAGTAGGACAGACAAAGGAGTGGATAATGGTCAGCCTGGCAGAACGAATAGCTGCTAATGGGGACTATTAGTGACTAACAATGAGTTACGTGTAATAGCAGATCACAAGGCCTGCTGTGTAGGGTCTGGGGTAAGCATATGGAAGAAGATGCCTCAAGCCCTAAAAATGTTGAACTCGATATCGAGTCCAGAGGCCTCAGAGTTCCTAAGCAGAAAATGAAGTTCTGTTCTTCCAGCTTGTGCTGAGCTTCTCTGGAAAGCTGCAGCAAGCCTGAGTCACACGTTAGCCGTTGACAGACATGGTTGTGTGTTGAAGTGGCAGACAACAGAAAGCTCAGGGGCACTTTTACAGTCAAAATGTAGGTGTCCTTCGATGTGGTCACTCAGCCTATGCTTTGTTTCCCCAATGTAGAGGAGACCACATTGTGAACAGCAAATACAGCAGACTAGATTGAGTGAAGTGTAGGTGAAGCAGGTGTGTTTAGGCCCTTGGATACCAAGGAGGGAGGAAATAAATGGGTAGGTGTTATGCCTTCTGAGGTTGCAGGGGATGGTGCCAGGGTGCTATTAGGGGTTAGGGGTGTTGGGAGTGAAGGACGAGTGAATCAGGGTGTACCAAACAGAACGGTCCTTACAGAAGGCTGACAGGGGAGGGGAGGAGAATAAGTGTCTGGTGGTGGCATCGCGCTGCAGATGACAGAAATGGCAGCTACTGATCCTCTGGATGTGGATGTTGGTGGGATGGTAGGTAAGAACAAAGAGAACCCTATCGCTGTTGTGGGAGGGAAGAGAGAGAAGGTGAGGGTGGAAGTTCAGGAGATGGGTCGGACCCAGCTGAGGGCCCTGTCAACAATGGTGCTGGGGAATCCTTGATTGAAGAAAGAAGTGGATGTTTCGAAGCCACCTTGTCAAAGTTGGTATCGTCAGAACAGATGTGATGGAGATGGAGGAACTGGGAGAATGGAATGCATATTTACAGAAGCAGGCTGTGAAGATGTATAGTCAAGATAACTGCAGGAGTCAGTTGATTTGTAGTGGATATTGGCAGCCTGTCTATCCTCAGAAATGGAAACAGAGGTTGAGGAAGGAAGACAGAAGTCAGAGGTGGACCAGGTGAAGGTGAGAGCAGGATAGAAATTGGAAGTGAAATTGCTAAACTTTTCCAATTCCAGACGAGAGAGGAAAGGAGCGCCAATAATGTCATCAAAACACCGGAGGAAGAGTTGTCGGTGGGGGCTGGAATAGGACTGGAACGAGGAATGTTCCACGTACCCCACAAGGAGACAGGCATAACTGGGGGTCACGTGGGTACCCAAACAGAGAATGGAGTGGGCTCTGCTGGGACAGATGAGCAATTCTTGCACATTCAAGCCTAAAAGTACTTTTGCTGCTCCTAACTTTAAGAAACTGTGTTTTTAAATTGTCTTCAGTTGGTGATTTTGGACACTGCTAATAAAGCCTGTTCTGCTTATTAACTAATTTTGTAAATGGATCTTTCGCAGGTCATTCACTCTCTCTCTCATTTATATACTCAAGGGCCACATAGCAGTGGGACTAAAGCCAGTATAAATTGGTTGCAGCTGACTTCATGCTAAATTTACATGTTTTCTTGAGCATAAAATGGGGTCAATCCCAAATCAATTTTTACCCCAGAGTCAGTACAGAAGCCATTAATGTTGTTAAATTATATTTTAAAATAATAAACATATTTGTTTGTGTATTTTAACATTGAAAGGAAATATTAAACTGTTTTGCTCAACTATTGGGTTCAGGGATATAATTACATAATATTATTAAGAGATATTGTACTCAGATTCCAATGTTGATGGTGCTTTCACAGACGGAGTTTGAATGTATTAATCCAAAGAAAAAACAGAAGAAAAAGAACTACAAAAATTCAGGGACTGTGGTTGTTAAATCATGTCAGGTATGTTCTGTTAGATTTCTCTCTTTTTGACAAAGTGTTTGTCTCTAAATTAAGCATAATATTATGGGAATATATCCTTTGTGCGATCTTGAGGATCGTGGATTAGTTTTGTTACAAAAGCTGAAATAGGTGGGTGTTCAAGTCCTCTCCTTTGTTGTCGAGTGTTTAAAGATGCAATGAATTTGCATTCATGCAGTGTTTTTCACTTTTTTGGCAAAGTCCCAGTGCCAAAAGCTGCATAGCTTTGTAGGGAACTGATGCAACCAGTTTGTGAATGGCAAGGTCACACAGTGAATCGAATAATTCTCATAGACATTCTCATTGGCAGGCCAATTTTAGATGCACTATCACACTTTAAAGACAGCACTTCCATGAATGTTGCACTCATCCAATAGTGCAGTAAAATGCCAGTCGACCTTAATGCTGGAGTCTATACTGTAACTGAAACCCTCAAGTTTATCTCAATCAATTTCACTGTAGCTAAATCAAACTAATAATGCAAATTATTTTCTTTAGTATGACTTGCTTTTTTCATTATGACTAATTTACATAAAACACATTTGTTCTCGGCAACAAAATAGTTTTTCTTAGAGTCATAGAGCCATACAGCACACAAACAGATCCTTCAGTCCATGCCGAACATAATTCCAAACTAAACTAGTCCCACCTGTCTGCACCTGGCCCATATCCGTCCAAACCTTTCCTATTCATGTACTTATCCAAATGTCTTTTAAACATGATAATTGTACCCGGATCCGCCACTTCCTCAGGAAGTTCATTCCACACGTGATCCACCCTCCGTGTAAAAAGACTTTCCCCCCATGTCTTTTTTAAATCTCCCTCCTCTCACCTTGAAAATATGCGTCCTAGTCTTGAAACACCCATCCTAGGGAAAGAAACTACCATTAACTCTATGTAAACCTGTCATTATTTTAGAAACTTCTATCATGTCGCCTCTCAACCTCCTATGTTTCAGTGAAAAATGTCCGAGCCTACCCAGCCTTTCTTTATAACTCAAACCTTCCATACTCTGCAACGTCCTGGTGAATCTCTTCTGAACTCTCTCCAGCTTAATAATATCCTTCCTATAATTGGGCGACCAGAACTGGACACAGTATTCCAGAAGAGGCCTCACCAATGTCCTGTACAACCTCAACATGACTTTCCAACTGCTGTGCTCAAAGGATTGAGCAATGAAGGCAAGCATGTCAAATGCCTTTTTAACCACCGTGTCTATATGTGACGCAAACTTCACTCCTGAATTTAAATATTTAATATATACACCTAGAGCGTTGTAGATGTACTGCACGGAAACAGACCCTTCGGTCCAACTCTTCCATGCTGACCAGATATCCGAAATAAATCTAGTCCCATTTGTCAGCATTTGGCCCAAATCCCTCTTAACCCCTTCCTATTCATGTACCCATCTGGATTCCTTTTAAATATTGTAATTGTACCAGCCTCCACTTCCTCTGGCAGTTTATTCCATACACGCACCACCTTTTGCGTGAAAAAGTTGTCCCTTTGGTCCCTTTTAAATCTTTCCCCTCTCAACTTAATCCTATGCCCTCTAGTTTTGGACTCCGCTACCCTCCGGAAAGGACCTTGGCTACTCACCCTATCCATGCCCCCTCATGATTTTATAAACTTCCAGAAGGTCACCCCTCAGCCTTCGCTCCAGGGAAAATAGCCGCAGCCTGTTCAAGACAACAAGGTGCAGGGCTGGATGAACATAGCAGGCCAAGCAGCATCATAGGAGCAGAA